ACGTAGGCCTGCTCCCCGTAAAGCAGAACCCCAGTGCTCTCTACTCCATGTGGGAGGCAGATCATAGGTCAGAGTCCCTGGTCCCCTAAGGGAGCAGAGCGACCCCTGCTTCCCATAGGAGGCAAAGGGAATTAGCTAGGTCAAAGGTATGGTTTAAATACAATTTTATGGAATGGGGGGAGGGGACAAGAGCATGGGAGGTACAAGCATGGCTCCAAAATGCCTGGGATATCAGGTAGTGGGGAGGTGATAAGCAAAGAGAACAGGAAAGGGGAGGGGAAGCGTTGTTCTGGAATTGAAGGTGCTTCATGAAAACACACAGGGCTCCAATGCGTGGTCTTCTTTGATCCCTTTTCTGGCTGGTCACATCCTGCATGTTATCTCCTATCTCATGTCCTGCTTGTTCTATCTGCCTCAAGCACTCTTTTCTGCCTCATCAGAATGTTCAAGGAACAGCTAGGAGACCAGTGAGTGGATGGAAGAGTATGTGGAGGTGAGAAAGGTGTAAGAAGACTGGAGAGGTATGAGAGGGCCAGGTCAGGAAGATCTTTAAAAGCGAAACGGAATTTGATCCTTGAGGTAACAGGGAGCTACTGGAGTTTATTGAATGGGGTAGTGCAGTGACATGGTCCGATCTGTACTTTAGGAAGATCAAATTGAACTTCATAAGCTGAGCCAACCTCATTCTTTGTCTAGGTGAACATAGGTTTACTTTTTCTTTTCTGTATTGGAGAAGCCAGAAAAATATGAAACAGTAACATTCTTTTTCTGCCTAGCTTTGATACCCTAGCTGGGAAAATCTCTACTAAGGAGAAAGAAAATCTATTTCTCTGTGTTTGTGCGTGTTTATATTTGTTCCTGTACAATCTGTACAATCATAGCCTCCTACATATAGGTCAGTAATGAAGAGGTTAAGCTTGGTTTTATTTTAATGCTAGCTGTTAAAGACTGGGTGAACAGAAACATGAAATAAACTTTAAAGAAACAGGGACCAGCTTTGGAACCACTACATAGCCTTCCAAGGTAGGAGAGCGAGGATCACCCTGCTCTATATGCCCCTTTGGCACATGTAGAAAACCGGAATCTGACTAGACAAAAATCTTGGCCCCAGAGTCAGGTGATGGTCTCAACATTGCGATTCTGATGCTGATTCTACAGGAATTGCTTCTGATGATCTTGATTATTTTCTTGTCTCCACTAGATTTTAAACAAGGCTTGCCTGGGCAACCCCCGACCTCACGCACACACACATTTGGCAAAGGTTCCTGTTCTGTCTCTGATTTCATTCCTGGCAGAGGAAGCCAAGGGTGTGGAAGATGTGGGCAGGGCTTGGGCTTGTGGGACAGTGGTATATGGTAGCCTTGGCCCTTTGCCTCTTGGCCAATCATCCTCTGTCCTCTTCTCACACCATCTTTTGAGAAGGTGATGGCCTGGGGACAAAGTGGCACCAGCAATGACTTGACTCACCCATGAGGCTCTGGCAATTACAACAGCTTGGACATAGGGACTCCAGCTTCTGCTTTTCCACTTCCCTCACTATTTGATATAGTTAATAGGAGTTCTTCAAGTATTTTTCGGTCTTAGAGACTCTGGGCTTACTCTACCAACTCTCACCCTCAATGGGGGTCAGGTCCCCAGAACTTGACTACTTCTTTCAAGAGAGGACACTGGGGTGTGTGTGGGGGTGGGGGTGTCTCTTCTCTCAAGTTATCAGTCACAAGTCCCCATCAAGTACCTCCCTCAATATCAGCCAGTAACTATCTCTTGAATATCATCTAACCAGTGATTAGTGCCCCAATAACAATTCACCCATTGATTAATGAATGAATGAAGGACAAATCATATGGAAAGTACCTATTATGTGTAAAAGCACTGTGCTAAGTGATGGAGATACCAATAGAAAAGTGGAGGTAGTCCCTCATTGGTGAAGTTCACATTCTAATGGGAAGAGACAACATATCTCTATTGGAAATTTCATTTTCAGATCATATAGAAATGTCTCCTGGTCATTTGGGAACAGTGATAAAACAGATGACAATGCATCTTACTGTCATTTCTATTGGTGCAATCGTAAATCAGTTTTTGACATTGAACCATAAGGCAGGGCCTTTGGGCTTTGATGGTTGAGAATTTTCTTTCCGAGTCTCCGTAGTTTTGGCTACAGTGCCTGCAGGAGCAGTTGCCAGGCTGCACCTGATGGAAGTTACTAGGCACTGAACTGAAAGCAGGAAGGGTGGTTTGGGGTCACCACTGGCAGTTGGTCAGTGATTGGTGTTGGTGGCAACAGAGAAGGTAAGCTGTGTCTCCACTGTGATTCCTCACTTCAGTGATGGCTGTAGAGGCCAGGTTGGAAGTAGGGCTGGTGTTCTGGGGGGGTCTCTGATATTTCTAGGGCCCTTGGATTCAGGATCCAATGTGATATGCATGGAAGTGGTAGTCAAGGTGGTAGCAGTGGTATGACTCACCTGGCACACGCGGCCACCTATCTCCAACTCAGGGTACCTTGTTGTTTTGACAAGAATATTTGTCTTCCCTGTGGATGATAGGTGGGTAGTAGGTGGAGATGGCAGGCTCTTTTCTTCTGGATGATGGTTGGTCTGGAAACAGGACCAGTGGTGTAGGGGGCACTGGAATTCTTGGCTCTTGGGCTTAGCTGATCATTTAAGGCAGCTGGTGGCTCAAGCCTACAGCCACACCACCCTGATTGCTCAGATGCTAGGCAGAGTCAGGACTGGTTAGTACTGCATGGGAGAATACCTGTGAATACTGAGTAGAGTAGGCTTTTATAAATTTTGGGGGGAGGCAGCTAGATAGCTCAGTGAATAGAGACCTGGGCCTGGAGTCAGGAAAACCTAAGTTCAAAATCAGCCTTAGATACTTACTAGCTTGTGACCTAGGCCAATCACTTAACCTTTGTTTGCCTTAATCCACTGGAGAAGGAAACGGCAAACCACTCCAGTATCTTTGCCAAGAAAACCCTATGGACAATATTGTATAGCGGTCCACAGGGTCAAAAAGAGCTAGACATGACTGAATGGCTGAACAGTAACAGATGGATCAATGGATAAAATACTGAAGTCAAGAAGACCTGAGTTCAAATTCTACCTCAGACATTTGCTAACTGTGTGACCCTTAATCTCTGTCTGCCTCAGTTTCCTCAACTGTAAAATGGAGATGATTAATGGGACCTACTTTCCAGGGTTCTTGTGAGGGATCAAATGAGATACTCCTTGTAAAGTACTTAGCACAGTGCCCAGCACACAGTAAGTGCTTAATAAATGCTAGTTGGTGTTGGTGGTGATGAGGAAGTTAGGATCATTCTCCTCAGAAGCTGTTCCACTCAATAAAGGGCTGTGGAGGCCAGGTTAGAACCTGTGTTGGACTCTGGAAAAGGGACTGCTCAGAATGACAAAGGGTTGCTTCTGCAGCAAATCCAAGTTCAACTCCCTGCAGAAAGAGGGCCATGGTTAACGCCCTATTTGAGTCCTTTCCTTTCATCCATGCTGATTCTCCTATAGCTCTTCTCCCTTTTCTGGCTGAATTTGAGTAAGCATTTCCAATTCTTCTTTCACTTTTGTCTAGGCTCTAGCTTTAGACATCACCATCCAAGTGAAACTGCTATCTCCAAAGTCACCAGCGTTCTCTTCCTTGCCAAATCTAATGACCTTTTCTCAATCCTCCTCTTTGGCCTTCTCTGAAGCCTTCAGCACTGGTGATTCCTTTTTTCATACTCTCCTCTCTCTACGTTTTCATGACACTACTCTCTCCTGATTCTCTTCCTACCTGTCTGACCCCTCCTCAGTTTGTTTTTTGCTGGTCTTCCTCTATGTCATTAACCCTGGGTGGCCCCCAAGACTGTGTTCTGGGCCCTCTTCTCTTCTTCTTCTAGACTGTTTCACTTGGTGATCTCATCGGCTCCCATGGATTCAATTATCCTGTCTGCCAATGATTCTCAAATCTATTTATCCCTGTTCCATCTCATTCTCATTCACCCCCGAAAGCAAGGGAAAAACAAAACCAGAAGGCAACATTTGTTGTCTAGTACTGGTACAGAGTGAAATAGAGAAGAACAGGAAAAATAACTGATAAAAAATGCTTAGTAAATCCAAAGTGTTATGTGAATATTAGCTATTATTATTACCACCTAGGGAGAGGAAAGAGTAAAGGGGAGCAGATAGGTGGCACAGTGGATAGAGCACTGGCTCTGAAGTCTGGAGGACCTAAGTTCAAATCCTGCCTCAGACACTTACTAGCTGTATGACCCTGGGTCATACACTTAACCCCAATTGCCCTCCCCTCAAACAGTAAAGAGTAGAAGACAATTGTGCAGAAGAATGAGAAAATGGGGGAAGAGGAGGAAAAAGAACAAGAAGAGAATGAAGTAGGAGAGAAGAGAGAATTAGGAGTTGGAAGGCCAGAATTCAAATCCTTTGCTACTTTAGCTATATGACCTTTGCCAAACCCAACCCTTTCTGGGCCTGTTTCTTCAGTCAAATGAAAGGGAGTGTGGGTTCTTTTTTTTTTTTTTTTTTTTTGGTTAGGCAATTGGGGTTAAGTGACTTGCCCAGAGTCACACAGTTAGTGAGTGTCATGTGTGTGAGGTCTGATTTGAACTCAGGTCCTCCTGACTCCAGGGCTGGTGCTCCATCCACTGTGCTACCTAGCTGCCCCTGGGAGTGTGGGTTCTTAACCAGGCGTTCCTGAATTTATTTTTAAAAATATTTTGATCACTGTATTTCAAGAGGATTGTTTTCCTTTGTAATCCTCTGTATTTTATGTTGTGCATTTGAAGTCCTGATTCAGAGAAGGGGTCCATAGGCTTCCCCATACTGCTGCCACAAAAAAGATTAATAGCGCCTAGACTAGAACTCTAAGCTTCTTCCTAGCTGTGACATTCCGTGATCGTGGAGGAAGGAAAAGAAAGTGAAAGCAAGCCGAGCTGAGCTACAGAGGGAGGGAGCCGGCCGGCGGCCAAACTTTCGTTTTCTCTAGGAGGAGCCATGGCTGGCGTTGGGTTGGCCTTTCCGACCTCTGGTGTTCTGGTCTGGCTGTCTGAGGATGACCTGAGCTGCGGAATCTGCCAAACCCTCTTCTCCTGCCCCACCACGTTGCCTTGCGGCCACAGCTTCTGCAGCTACTGCATCGAGCGCCACTGGTCACACCTGGGCCGGTCCCGGGGAGGCGCAGCCAGGGATGGTGGCCCCGGAGTGCTGGGGACCCAGGGGACAGGCTGGCTTTGTCCCGTCTGCCGCAAGGAGGTCTGTATGAGCCCCTGGCTGAAAAAAAACACGGCCCTTCAGGACGTGGTGGACAAGTACAACAAAGCCCTGAAGGAGGGGTCGGAGCCCTGGGATCCCTGCCCAAATCACCCGCCAACGCTACAGGTAGGGTCTCCTAGCGGCTTTCCCGGATTCGCTAGCTCATCTTCCCACCTTCCCCCTCTGCCTCACCCCAAACCCTCCCATCCGGTCCAGTCTCTCCTCCTCGTCACATTTGTTATCTCCTTACATCATTTCTGTAACTTTCCTATAGTGCCTCAGTTGATAGCGCTCCGGAATTGGTGTCAGCAAGACTCACTTCAAGTCCGGTCTCAGACACTTACGAGCTGTGTGACGCTACTTATCCTCTGTCTTTCTCAGTTTCCTCATCTATAAAATGGGGATAGTGATAACACCTGCCCTCACAGGGTTATTGTAAGGATCAAATTAGATATTTGTAAAGCGCTTTAAAAACCTTAAAACTCCCTATAAATGCTATCTATTACATTAGCTTTATATTGTAGTAGTACATTGTATAGGTTTACTGAGAAGCTAAACGATTAAGCCCAGGGTCACATAGCTAGACCTTTAACTACTGTGACACACTACTCTAGTAAATAATTGGTGTTTAATATATATTTGTTGACTAAATAATTGACCATTCACTTCTTTCTTCTACTTGCACTTTCCTTCCTTTCCACCCCTCCAACCAATACCCTACCTTCCTGCCCCACCCCCCCCATTTGTCATCTGGCTGCCCTTTTCACAAAGGGACCGAATAGGAATTTCTCTTGTTGGCTTGTTCCCATTGCCCCCCGCCCCTTTAATTACCACGGAACAGTGATGAGGCCACCACTTGGAGTGAAGCCTTGCTAGGTCTGTAATCTAATCAGTGCATAATAGAGACCTGGCTTGATGTTTTGACTTTTCCCTTTTAAAGGAACCAAAACCCATGAAAAGGAGAATCAATGAAGTCCGTCAGGAACTGGAGGGCCTGTTAGAACAGTTCATTTCTGGAATCACCAAACTTCAGCGTTTGGGACCCCTTGAGACAGGGATGTCAGAGGACTTGATCACCCAGGAGAAGGTAAACTTGGGTGGGTAGGATGGGAAGAGTTGGGGAGGGAAGAGAACTATTGCAATAGATTATATAAACTGGAGGGCAGGACTTTTTCTTTTTGTCTCTATTCTTGGGGCCTTGAACACGATAGGTGCTTAAGAATGGTTGTTGACCTTTAACCCAGCAATACCACGGCTAGGTCTGTAGCCAAAGTGCTTAAAAAAAAAAAAAAAGGAAAAAACTTGTATGTACAAAAATATTTGTAGCAGCTTTTTTTGTGGTGGCAAAGAGTTGGGAATTGAGGGTATGCCCATCAATTGAGGAATGGCTGAACAAGTTGTGGTATACGATTGTGATGGAATATTATTATTCCATAAGAAATGACCAGCAGGATGCTTTCAGAAAAACCTGGAAAGACTTGCACAAACTGATGCAAAGTAAAGTGAGCAGAAGCAGGAGAACATTGTACACAGTAACAGCAACATTGTACAATGATCAACTGAGAATGATTTAGATATTTTCAGCAATACAATGATCCAAGACAATTCCAAAAGTCTCATAATGAAAAATGCCAAGACTTATGGAGTCTGAAAGCAAATCAAAGCATACTTTTTTGGGAAAAAAACTTTATTTTTCTTGTTTTTTTTGTCTGTTTTCTTTCACAACATGGCTAAAATGAAAATATGCTTTCCATGACTGTATATATACAATCTATATCAAGTTGCTTGCCTTCTCAAGAAGGGAGAAGAATGGGAAGAAGAGAATTTGGAACTCAAAATTTTTAAGAACAAATGTTAAAAATTGTTTTTATATGTAATTGAAAAAATATAATATAAAAATTGAAAATGAAAAAAAAAATAGTTGTTGAACTGAAGGGACAGCTTCTGGATAGAGCCTAAGACCAAGTTGAATGAACAGTGAATCATGTTGGTGCCATACTAAAAGTTAAAGTCCTCCCAGGCTTTGCCCAGGCTGACCCAAGCCTGGCATGCTCCCCTTCCAAACCTTCCCATAGTAGCTCTATTCACAGGTGCCACCTGCTAAGTGAGGACTTTCCCAGCTGTTATCTTAGCAGGGCTTTTCCCTGTTGAAATTACTTTGCATCATTTTACATATACTTTGCATTTACCCAAATATATCCACTGTATATCTTCAGCAGAACGTAAGGTCTTTGAAGGCAAGGGTTTTATTTTTGTTTTTTCTTATCCCCAGCAAGCCTCGCTAGCACGGGGGCTTGCACCTAGTAGGCGGGGCAATCAACAAATATTTGTTTAGCTGAATTGAATTAAAATGATGAATTTTTAACAAATATGGAAAATGTTATGGACTATTTGTTATATCTCTCTATTAGGTGGTTTTAATGAACTGTTTTCAGGGAATTTGCTTTGTTGGAAAGTGGTAAAACAAAGAGTTATTAAGTGCTTTCTATGTGCCAGGCACTGTGCTAACCGAGTACTGGAACTACAAAGCCAAATGTGGAATAGTTCTTGCCCTTGAGGAGTATATATCCTAATAAAAAAATTAAAACGTATCCTTAAAAAAATGTTGGACAGCTAAAAAAGAATCCATGGAACAGGAGTTCTTGATCTTTTTTGATGTTACAGACCTCTTTTGGCATTCTTACTTCTCATAGGCAGAAGCCTATGAATTCCTTCTCAGAATAGTTTTTAAATGCATAAAATTTTAAAATATATAGAATTACAAAAGAAGCCAAGGCACAGGATTAGGCATTGTGTTATAGCTATTATAAGCTATGGTTAAGGCAATTAAATAAGCATTTATTAAAGCACCTACTTTATATATGACAATGTGCTATGTATAGTAGATATTGTTCTGTTGTTTAGTTGTGTCTGACTCTTCCTGACCACCCCTCTCACCCCCCCATGGACCAACTGTCTTTTCTTGGCAAAGATACTGGAGTGGTTTGCCATTTCCTTCTCCAGTCTTATGCAGGCAGGGGTTAGGTGACTTACCCAGGTCACACAGCTAGTAGGTGTTTGATATCTGATTTGAACTCTGATCTTTCTGACTCCTGTCCCAGGGCTCTATCCATTTCACCACCTAGCTGCCCTTACGGTGGACAGCAGGGATATAACAATGGTGCAGATTGAGTGCATGAGTTCTGAGGAACATGGAACAGAAAGGGGATTGCTGTGTTGTTTTTAGGGATTCACAGATTCTTTGGGCTAAGGGTGATCCTGGATGCCACTAAATCCAACTCATACATGCCCTCTTTAACATCCCCAACAAGTAGTCACCTAATTTTTGCTCTAAAGACCTTTGGAGAGGAACGACTCATCACCGCCTGACACAGCTAATTCTACTTTAGGACAGATTTAACTGTAAGGAAGTCTTCCTTCTATTTGATTAACTTTACTTTTCTGTAAATTTTACTCACTTTTCCTACTTTTCTTCTCAGGGACCCAAAACAATAAGCTTAATTCTTCTTCTGTTTAGCCTTCAGAGATGAAGACAGCTCTCATGCTGCTCCTAAATCTTTTCTTGATTAAATAGCTTCAGTTCCTTCAACTGGTCCTTAGATGCTGTGGTCCTCTCGCCATCCTGGTCACCTCCTCCTGGGGTCATGATCTGCATTCTGGTTCACTTTCAGCACCAAGCCTATCCATCCATCTATCTATCTATCTATCTATCTATCTATCTTTCAAATCAATAAGCATTTTTTATGCACCTATGATGTTCCAGGCTCTGTGCTAAGTTCTGAGGATACAAAGGAAAGCAAGATAAATCAATAAAAACCCCAATCCCTGCCCATAAGGAGCTTACAATCTAATGGGGGAGACATTGACACCAAATTTATTATTAGTTTATTGTGTGACTTTTCAGAGTTGGATAAGTTACTAGAAGACTTAAAATTTTTTTTCTGTTTTTAAGTTAATTAATTTATTTTTAGTTTTCAACATTCTCTTCCATAAGCTTTTGAGTTTTAAATTTTCTCCCCCTCTCTCCTCATCTCCCTCCCCAAGAAGGCATGCAATCTGATATAGACCCTACATATACATTCCTATTAAACATATTCTCATATTATCATGTTGTAAAGAAGAATTAGAACCAATAGAAGAAACCACAAGAAAGAAAAAACAAAACAAAACAGAAGGAAAAAAAGAGCAAATAGTATGCTTGGATCTGCATTCAGACTCCATAGTTCTTTCTCTGGATGTGGATAGCACTTTCCATCATGAGACTTTTGAAGATGTCTTAGATCCTTGCATTGCTGAGAAGGGCAAAGTCCATCAAAGTTAGTCATCGTACAGTGTGGCTGTTACTGTGTATACTGTTCTCCAGGTTCTGCTCACTTCACTCAGTATCAGTCCATACAAGTCTTTCTAGATTTTTCTGAAGTCCATCTGCTCATCATTTCTTATAGCACAATAGTATTCCGTTACATTCATATACCATGACTTGTTTAGTCATTCCCCAACTGATGGTCATCCCCTCAATTTTCAATTCTTTGCCACCACAGAAAGAGTTGCTATAAATATTTTTGTACATGTGGATCCTTTTCCTGTTTTTATGATCTCTTTGGGATACAGCCCTAGAAGTGCTATTGCTGGGTCAGAGGGTATGTACATTTTTATAGCCCTTTAGGCATAGTTTCAAATTGCTCTCTAGTACTGGAAGACTTTGGAGGCCCCTTCTGTGGTCAGTGATTCCCATTGACTCCAGCATTCAGCAAATAGATTATCTTTGCTGGGGCAGAAGGGCAAATAAGGTCGATGAGTTATGGTGGAGGTAGTTGGTAGAAGGCCTTGAGTTCATGCTGAGAAGTTTGTATTTTATACAATAGGAGATAGGAAGCCATTGTCTTTGCTTGAGCTGAGGAGTAAGTGATATAATTAAATTAAAACAACAAAGAAAATCATTCTTGTAATTTTGACTTAGCTCCAACTTGTATTTTTAAAAATCTAGCCCTCAGGGACAGCTGGTGCAGTGGATAGAGCACTTGAGTTCAAGAATGGTCTTAGACCAGACACTTGACACTTACTAGCTATGTGACTCTGGGCAAGTCACTTAACCTCAAATGCCTTGCCAAAAAAAAAAAATCTAGCCGTCATCAGGCAGCTAGGTGATACAGTGGATGGAGTACCAGGCCTGGAGTCAGGAAGACTCATCTTTGTTAGTTCAAATCCAGCCTCAGACACTTACTAGCTGTGTGATCCTGGGCAAGTCACTTTACCCTGTTTGCCTCAGTTTCCTCACCTTTATAATGAGCTGGAAAAGGAAATGGCAAACCCTTCCTGTATCTCTGCCAAGAAAACCCTAAATGGAGTCATGAAGAGTCTGAAACGATTGAACAACAACCTTATCACATGCTTTTTGAAGTCCCAGCTACATTAAAACATAGACACTCCAAAACCAAAACGCATTTCTCAAAAACAAAACAAAACAACCAACTTATAGATAGAGAAAATATGTTAGGAGAGAAAGGGAAAAGGATAGACAGGGATTCAACTTCTAACCAAGCCAGACTGTAAAAATTCATTAAGGAGAGCTTCTTACAAGGTTGCTTTTTGTTTAAGATGAAGCATGAGGTCTTGGGTAGAATGCCGAACTTGTTGTTGAAGACCTGAATTCAAACTCCACCTCAGAAATTTAATTAGCTGTAGATCTGTACCTCGGTGTCCTAATAGGGGTACCCATAGTGCCTGCATCACAGGGTGACTGTTAGGTTAAAATGGGGTAATGCATATAAAGTGCTCTGCATGCTTTAAGATGTTTAAGATGTCAGTTATTATTATTGTGATTTTCTTTTACCATCTATCATTAAGAGCTACTTTCACCACTTTCTCCTAAGCTGAAGAATCCCAACATATTTCAAAGAACCATCGATGAAATCAACAATGATATCAAAGAACTGAAGAAAAAAATTCAGGAAAAGTTAATATGGGAAGAAGATCCCAGCAAAATAGCAAATGGTGGGTAAATTTTGTTTCACAGGGTGGAAGTAGGGGTGTTGGAGGGATGGAATAGCTATGAAAATTGAGTAGAAATGTAAAAATGGTCCAAGCTACCATTTTTTAGGCTGATGAAACTCCCAGACATTATACGTATTACCAGGTTAGTGGAAGATGGGCCAGTGAAACACTGGCCAGAATATTTTTTTGACCATCCCTGGAGGTATGATGGGTCATTGTCACTTTTTAGCTGTATACTTCTAATTTATACCCATCCTCTATGTGTAATGGATAGAGTTAGTCTCAAAACCAGAAAGATCTGGGGTCAATTACTGAATCTGATACATAATGACTGTGTGACCCTGGGCAGGTCACTTAAACTCTCACTGTTCCAGGTAACTTTCTAAGATTACAAATTGCTGAGCAAAGTGCTGCGCTGCAATTGTAGAGGGAGAGTCCATGCCTGGATGTTCTCTATGTCAATGAAATCATAGATCCAGCCCTGTTCTTGTCCCATATCACTCTTTGAGGCTAGTCTGAGTTTTACCTGATTTGTCCTTGGTGGTTTATGCCTCAGCAATATCGATTTTTGGAAATTAAGCATTTTGAGGCGACTGAAAATTAACTCCTTTTGTTCACTATCCAAATTCTACTAGATTCTAATCTTCTTAAGGGCAGATACTATTTCTTATCTAAACTTTATATCTCCTTGTAAAAGTTAACTGTTTGCTTTACAAAAGATTCTTTGAAATGGTTAGTACATTTAAAATAATTATATTTATAGATAACTTTTGTAGGTCTCATTGTGTAGCAAAGTTGACT